TGTCAAGATGATGATGGGTCATATATGTCGAAAAAGTCATCATCTGTGATCGAAAGATTATCAGTTTGTTCCCGAACATTTTGTAAACCTAGGCAAAGGGATCTGAATTTTTGTGAACAAATTACCAAATTAAAGATTAACAATTTCCTTATTATAAACAGAACTGCGAATTCATGTGACCTTAAGGATTTCTAAATCGGCACGCGTGTGATCGAAATACAGTGTGAGTAAAGAAATCTTTGAATACATATGAACGCTGGTGCGACTCAGATATGATTTCATTCCTGATATAGAAAATGAGGGAATATTGAGACTGGCGGACAACAGATAGTCAGGTGAATAAAGAATGTGGGACGGTATAGATTTGCATTTGAAGAGTTACACACAGGGAAGAGAATCTATGGATGTCAACTTCTTTATTATGATAAACACAACGTTCCGAGAACAGTAAACTACGGTTATAACGAACTCAAAGGGACCACTACTTTTAATTTGTTATAACCGTAATTCGTTATAAGCAAATCTACAGAATACATACAGCAAATGGATAGGAATACAGAGAGTCCGGTATATAGAGATTATCGGACAATAAATATGTCCGGTGTGGAGAGATTGACAAATACAGAGAGTCCGGTATATAGAGATTATCGGACAATATAGATGTCCGGTGTGGAGAGATTAACAAATACAGAGAGTCCGGTATATAGAGATTATCGGACAATATAGATGTCCGGTGTGGAGAGACTGACGGAATACAGAGGGTCCGGGATATAGAGATTATGGAACAATACCGATGTCCGGCATGGAGAGATTGACAAATACAGAGAGTCCGGTATATAGAGATTATCGAACAATATAGATGTCCGGTGTGGAGAGATTGACGGAATACAGAGGGTCCGGGATATAGAGCATGGTATATATTGTTACTGATCGGCGATGTATACATACTCTCACAGGCATTCAGCGAGATTGGGAGTGTGAAGTTATGGTGATGCGTCATGTTAAGTTATCCTTGCGCTACTTGAACATTTGCAATGTATCGGGTCCCCATGCTAAATATCTTCAACCAAAGACATAAATAGATATATATATTTTCTTCAACAAACACATACACACAAAATGTAATGCAACATTTATCGACAATGTGTTTTTTTTATCGAACCCCCTCTGAAGAAACGTTATGTTTTTAACAGATACGACTGCGCATGAATGTGGGTCTCGCATGCGCAACAATCCCGGAAGTTGCGAGATCGAGATGCGTGGTACACGTCAGCAGTGATCGACAGTCTGCGAAGAAAATGTGTCAATCACATCACTCCGACCTGTCAGTGCAGGGGGACGATTAAAGTTCTTTGGTGTCATATTAAATAGACTGGGAAACCTGTGAATGGAACATAGCACCCCCTGAACCGAGTGGCCAGGGGAGACCTCGCGCAGAGTCAGCGATTTTAAAGTAAAACAGATACCTTCAATGAACAGAAGAGCCTAGAAAAATAGGCCCATAAAACTCCGGGAGATTTTCAGCCATTAACAACAAGCACGCCTCTCCGAAACGACGCCTTATTATATGGAATTTACGTTCACTTTTAATTGGTATGGGGTTTTTTTTAAAGGGGTTATTCAAAAAAAAGAGAAAAATATGAAAAGATTTAACTCAAAGAAGAGTTAAAAGTAACGTAAAGAAGAATTGTAATATTAACTTTTGCTGGAGTATCCGGTCTTTTATTATTCATACATAGCATGTCAAACGACTTTAACTTCTTCCTTATAGCCGAATGCTGTCAGTATACAAGACAATGCAGAGGGGATTATATTACTTCTGTTACACTATTGTTTTTCTTTAACATTTTATGGACCCTTTTTTAAGAGAATTTGATCCTAAAAAGTTTATTTTAAACACTGAAACGCATTTTAAACGCCCCAAGCCTTGAAGTTGTTTTTCAGTACAAAACAAAAACAAATGTGTATGCTTAACAGCTAGAAAAAGAGGTATGGCTCAGACGTCAGCATGGATAAATTTAAAACAATCAAATTTAGGAATTTGCGTAGGCGCGTAATTAGTAAGAATGAAATTAGACACACAAAAAACTTATATCCTCTTATTATCTTTTTTTCATATCTATCTTCTGTAATTTTTTCGCAGTGAAAGATATATCAATGCACAAAACTCCTGAATAAAACTGTTTTAATGACGAATAATTTCCTTGTTTGTACTTTCGATGGGGTTGTGTGGGTAACAGTTGTATATTTCAGAGAAAGACTTCTTTGACTTGACGCGCTTGACAAGAGCGATAACATTTCAAAGATTTAGTTACACAAAGATCAAGAAGGGCTGATAACAACACTATCATACTCCCCCTGATAACATCAAGGAGGCTTACTTTGATAAGATATGGGCTTATAATTCCTGCAAATTAGGCCACGTGAAAAGCGCATACCCGATCACGATCCAGAGGATCCCAAATACAGTCACACATAAATCGTTATCATAACTTAACTAATACCTCATCCTAGTCCATAGTGTAATGTGAATGAGTGAGTGAGTGAGTGAGTGAGAGAGTGAGCTGGGTTTAACGCCGCTGAGAATGGCAGTTTGATGTGGGGGAAAGACCGAAGTTATGCAGGCCTTAGACGTTTACCACTTCGGTGAAACCCACGAGCACGGGAATGGTGCTGACAAGCCAAGAAACATTATCGGGGCGTACCGGGATTCGAACCCACGATCATCGGTTCCTGGCGTGCCCAAGGGACACACCTCAGCATGAGACGCAACTATTGCGGGTCCTTAGACAACCTGGTCCTCCGTGCCCCCCGACATATTACCGAAACGACATTAAATATAATAATTATTGCAAGTTTCCTCCGGACGCCAACAGTGGAAACGCCACCGTCCGTATTGTTATCGATTACACTTCCATGTTGTGCGTGTAGCATCAAGACTGTTGTATTTGTGCGGATGAATCACACATTAATTTCCATAATTAATCGTAGAACTAAAGTTCTAAGTATTTGTGTATGTCACACGTTAATTTGATTTCAACCGTTGTTTACACAAGGAAGTATAATTTTTTTTTAAAAAAAACACCGTCACTGTATACGTCCACTTTGGCTAACAATATCAGATTAGAAATCACATATATACTGATGGAAATTAATGAGGGAACACGTAGTTTTAGACACAGTAAAATCATATGTATCATGGGTTTCCAGCCTTGTCCACCAAATACGCGTATAAACAATGCACACAAACACATCTCAACATTTGATTCTGACATGTGTTGAATTTGTATGCGCGCTTATTTCCCAATGTTTTTTTTTTGTTCTCTTATTCGATACCATTAGTTTAGTTTTATGTACATGTATTATGAAACACACTATTTCATTTCAACCAATGTCCAGACACCGACCTTTCTTTCTTTAAAACCTGACACCGTCTCCTAATTTTTGAGGACCGCCTCCGTGGCCTAGTGGTAGAGCGTCCGCCCGTAGAGCGGAAGGTCAGGGGTTCGATCCCCGGCCGTGTCATACCAAAAGACGTTAAAAGATGGTACTTGCTGTTACACCGTCTGACGCTCGTATACTTTGTCTGAGTGGGGTATTCATGTTAAACTGCGGCATGGTATCTCAGTGAGCTAGCACTATAAATCGGCATCAGTCCGGACTAGTACGAGCACACACACACACACACACACACACACACACACACACACACACGTGCATGCGCGTCGCTATATAAGTGCAATAATCTTGAACGCGACTTTAAACCCCATTTCACCTCACCTCACCTCTTAATTTTTGAATAGGTCCACACTGTCTACGGGTATCAGATTATTAAGTGCAAAAGGCACATACATTTTACATATTATGACATACACACATTGTTATTTCAACGATTGCCACAGACTCTTGGATTTATTTCCAGGCGTGTATTGCTTTGCTTGCCGAAACGAATTGATCAATCGACATTAATACTCGTTGACAAGTTAATCCACTTTCGTTGTATTGTACAACGCCATTACGCTGAATTCTTTTCAACAATCATCTCTACTGGAACTACACATCGCTGATGTTATATTAATACCCTTGCAGATGCTCCATGTTATACCTTCTCTGTTTAAATTTGGAAATATGAGCTCCAACATCAAAAGAGCCCGTGTTTAATCGTTGATGTTAATTATTTAACATGGCATCAATAGGTCCACCATCTGCTGTAGGCTATTGTAGACGCCCATCTGCACGTGCTGGCGATGCCGGAACGACAAATCAACAACTCAACAATTATAATCATCCCGAAACCATGAAGATTGAAAGATTTAAAGAATAATTTACGCTATTGATTGGAATAAACATCTGCTATATTCGCCGAGAGAGAGACAATGAATATGAGGCAGCTGTAGCGGTATTTCAATCCCCGTAAAGGTATGAGGTAATTATGCGCGTGCGACGCACGTGCTGGTCCACCTGCTCGCGCATTGTGATACTGCATGCGTACGCAGCTGTATTGAAATTTTGATCGATTTTCGGGAATGAGCGCCAAAGCGGTGTCAAATTGAATGTTTTGTTTACCGAGTATTTACATCATGTCTCATTCCTTGAGTGGGTTTTATGTGTTATTAATCCGCTGGAGTGCGGTGGCGCCATTTATAAACAATAGTTGTTACACGTCACCATGCACCCTTTTAATCTAAACATCAGAGACGTTAGAGTTGCCTCCCTTTGAAGGAAAATGCCCCCACGGATAACGTGGAGGACAGAAGGCTTCACTTCGTTACGTGCGACAGACTTAATAGAGCAAATTATTTGGAAACATATATTTCAGATATATCTTATACGGGAATTCATTTATCGAAATGATTCTTGTTGATGTAATTAAAGAATGAGTTTTCGGTGGTGATAGAGCTCAAACTTTTACAAGTGTTTTATATTTTATTTATTCAACTTTATCTTAAACGTAGTTGATTTTTGGTTGAACACCGACTTCAAGAGCATTGAGTCACATGATGCCGGTAAGACTGTTAATTGGAGTTATTTAATAACATGATACAACTGGGGACTGCAGGTTTGGAGAAGCCCACGGGTTTATTATCATAGTAAGTGCATTACGACAATTTACGGACAAATCAAATTTGAGGTGGGAACAAGATGAATAGTTGTCAATATGTTTTTGGATTTAAGATTTATGGACATATTTAGTAGAAAATATATGTACAGAACCTTGCTACCATCATCAACTCGTACTCCTAACATCAAATTCAAACCAAATTAAAACCCCAAACACACAACTCGGTCTCACTTCTTCAACACCTAACACAGCAACCACAACACCCAACACAGCAACCCAAACACACAACACAGCAGCCACAACATCCAACACGGCAACCCAGACACCCAACACAGCAACCCGGACACCCAACACAGCAACCACAACACCCAACACTGCAGCCCAGACACCCAACACAGCAACCACAACACCCAACACAGCAACCCGGACACCCAACACAGCAACCCAAACACACAACACGGCAACCCAGACACCCAACACAGCAACCCGGACACCCAACACAGCAACCCAAACACACAACACGGCAACAACAACACCCAACACAGCAACCCGGACACCCAACACAGCAACCCGGACACCCAACACATCAACCCAAACACACAACACGGCAACCCAGCCACCCAACACAGCAACCCGGACACCCAACACAGCAACCCAAACACACAACACGGCAACAACAACACCCAACACAGCAACCCGGACACCCAACACAGCAACCCGGACACCCAACACAGCAACCCGGACACCCAACACGGCAACCCAGACACCCAACACAGCAGCCCGGACACCCAACACGGCAACCCAGATACCCGACACAGCAACCCGGACACCCAATACGGCAACCCAGATACCCAACACAGCAGCCCGGACACCCAACACGGCAACCCAGACACCCGACACAGCAGCCCGGACACCCAACACGGCAACCCAGACACCCGACACAGCAACCCGGACACCCAACACAGCAACCCAGACATCCGACACAGCAACCCGGACACCCAACACAGCAACCCGGACACCCAACACGGCAACCCAGACATCCGACACAGCAGCCCGGACACCCAACACAGCAACCCGGACACCCAACACAGCAACCACAACACCCAAAACAGCAACCCGGACAATCAAAACAGCAACCCGGAGACCCAACACAGCAACCTGGACACCCAACACAGCAACCCGGACACCCGACACAGCAACCACAACACCCAAAACAGCAACCACGACACCCAGCACAGCAACCCGGACACCCAACACGAAAACCCAGACACCCAACACAACAACTCAGACACCCAACACGGCAACAACAACACCCAATACAGCATCCCGGACAATCAACACAGCAACCCAGATACCCAACACAGCAGCCCGGACACCCAACACAGCAACCCAGACACCCAACACAGCAACCCAGACACCCAACACAGCAACCCAGACACCCAACACAGCAACCACAACACCCAACACAGCAACCCAGACATCCAACACAGCAACCACAACACCCAACACAGCAACCCGGACACCAAGCACAGCAACCACAACACCCAACACAGCAACCACAACACCCAACACAGCAAACACAACACCCAACACAGCAACCGCAACATCCATCACAGCAACCGCAACACCCAACACAGCAACCGCAACACCCAACACAGCAACCCGGACACCAAACACTGCAACCACAACAACCAACACAGCAACCACAAAACCCAACACAGCAACCACAACACCCAACACAGCAAACAAGACACCCAACACAGCAAACAAGACACCCAACACAGCAACCGCAACATCCATCACAGCAACCGCAACACCCAACACAGCAACCGCAACACCCAACACAGCAACCCGGACACCAAACACTGCAACCACAACAACCAACACAGCAACCACAAAACCCAACACAGCAACCACAACACGTAACATAGCAACCCAGACACCCAACGCAGCAACCACACCAACCAACACAGCAACCACAACAACCAACACAGCAACCACAACACCCAACACAGCAACCCAGACATCCAACACAGCAACCACAACACCTAACACAGCAACCCAGACACCCAACACAGCAACCACAACACCCAACACAGCAACCACAACACCCAACACAGCAAACAAGACACCCAACACAGCAACCGCAACACCCATCACAGCAACCGCAACACCCAACACAGCAACCGCAACACCCAACACAGCAACCCGGACACCAAACACTGCAACCACAACAACCAACACAGCAACCACAACACCCAACACAGCAACCACAACACCCAGCACAGCAACCACAACACGTAACACTGCAAGCACAACACCCAACACAGCAACCACAACACACAACACGGCAACCCAGACACCTAACACAGCAACCACAACACCCAACACGATAACCCAGACATCCAACACAGCAACCGCAACACCGAACACAGCAAACCAGACACCCAACACTGCAACCCTAACACCCAACACAGCAGCCGCAACACCCAACACAGCAACCACAACACCCAACACGGCCACCCAGACACCCAACACAGCAACCACAACACCCAACCCAGCAACCACAACACGTAACATAGCAGCCCAGAAACCCAACACAGCAACCCAAAACAACCCAACACCGCACCGCAACCCAAACACGCAAAACTCAACACTACAATCTAAACACCCAAAAACTCCGCAACCAAAACACCCAAACACAGCAACCGAAACAGCCAAACACCACACCCAACACCCAAACACCGCAACCTAATCATGCAACACCGCAACCCAAAACCCAAACACGCAACACCACAACCCACACATCCAAACACCAAACCCAACACCCAAACTCCGGAACCCCAAAACCAAACAACACAACCCAAACACTCTAAAACCACACCCGACACCGCAACCCAAAACGCAACACAGCAAAACAGCAACCTGAACATCCAACGCTGAAACTCAAAAACCAAAACATCACACCCAACACTACAACCCAGACACCCAGCAGTTGAACACTTACCCAAACACCAAACATCCCAACCAGGACCTCAAACTCCAAACCAAAACACACCAAAACTAACACAACAGTACCCTTTGATAGGCATTTAGAAGTGGAGGAACATGAAGAGATGACACTTGTGTGTGGATAGCAACTTCTTTTATTCTTTGTACAACGTTTCACAGCTACTCCTTGCTCCTTCGTCAGATGAATGCCTGGTAAGTGCATAACTGGCTTCATCATTATAATGTTATCTTAATCCTATCCCATCGGCTTCGTCTTTATATAGTCATATTTTATATACTAATCATATGTCATTGTACATACATCCCACCTTGTGTTGTGGAAACATCTTCATTTTAAGATAGATAGATAGATTCTATCGATAACGATGGATGGATGCATGGATGGATGGATGGGTGGGTGGGTGGATGGATGGATGGATGAATGGATGGATGGATTATGGATGATGGATGATGGATGGGTGGATGGATGGGTGGATGGATCGATGATGGATGGGTGGATGGATGGATGGATGGGTGGATGATGGATGGATGGATGGATGGATGATGGATGGATGGATGGATGGATGGATGGATGATGGATGGATGGATGGATGGATGGATGGATGGATGGGTGGGTGGGTGGGTGGGTGGGTGGGTGGATGATGGATGGATGGATTGGTGGGTGGGTGGGTGGGTGGATGGATGGATGGATGGATGGATGGATGGATAGATAGATAGATAGATAGATAGATAGATAGATAGATAGATAGATATATAGATAGTACTCTGTACACTTACTAGGCATGAAGGAGCATAGAATTCCTGGTGAAGGAACAAGAACTACGCGAAGCATAAAAGAAGTTTCTATCCATAAAAAAGTGTCATGTATGCACAACAGTACCCGTCTCCGAACACTGGTCACTTATACAGATGATACGTTCAAATACATACATGACCAGCCAAGGTCATGCGATTACAAGTGTCAGTGGCGACATTCAGGTCAAGCCTCATCGCATGTGGGATCGTCAGCAACAGTTGTTACGATCGCGACATCGCTGCCCAAGTAGCATGCTGTTGTACAATACAGATAAAGCTTAATATCCGCATTGACAACGACTTCAAGGACAGCATGCAGCCAATCCGGGGACGATACTTACCATCATTGACGTATGTATCTGACATCATCGATATTATCGCCTGCACAACAACTGAAGATCGGAAGTTTCAATTAGAGTCGACGTGTGTCTGCGATTAAATTGTGATCCTTCTCTGGAAAACTACGCCGAATATATACATATACTGACGACCGCGTCTCCTGGTGATCAAATATGTCCATATTTGCTTAGAATGTCAGATTAGAAAACATATGTCACATATATCTTCATTTGTTGTGTTTGTTTGTTTTTGTTTGTCGTTTAACGCCGCAGTCGGCAATATACCAGCTATATGACGGTGGTCTGTAAATAATCGAGTCTGGACCAAACAATCCAGAGATTGACATCATGAGCATCGATCCACGCAATTGGAATACGATGACATGCATCAACCAAATCAGCGAGCCTGACCACCCGGTCCTGTTAGTCGCCTCTTACGACAAGCATAGTCGCGTTTTACGGCAAGCATGGGTTGCTGAAGACCTATTCTACCCCGGATCTTCACGGGGAGGATACACTTTGATCTCAACCGTTGTTTAATATGACGACGAATATCAAAATACTGACAATGACGTCTCCGGATGATCAAATACATGTACGTCTAGATCTACATTTTCTAAAAAATGCCAGATAAGAAAGCATAGATGACATTGGGCAACGTGAACCGTTGATCTTGGTGTTGGCGTAATACACTAGATGCTTTCATTTACTAAATTCTAAATGACATGCCATAATCTAATATATCTTATATATATATATGTTTATGTATATCTATTTTAGTCCATGGTCAAAGGTATCAGAACTAAATGTTAATATGTATTTTAATGTCTTGAAAAAAACTAGAAACAAGCAGCCAAACAGCCGGGTAAAAGAGATATACACTAAAAAAATTGGATTTGACCACACAATTACCAGGGCTTGTCAAAGGGTTCTAAGCCTAACAAACAAAACCATATATTGGGAAAGGGTTTTAAAAATTTGTACAAAATAATCTCTCTGCTTTTCAATACTATTCTCATATCAACAGTCAAGGTTTTCAATTCCAGTCAGGAAGAAGTTTTCTGAAGCCACCTTGAAAAACCCATTCACGGCATGTGGGGTCATCGTTGTCGTCATGGCGCTTTCCATGAAGGTGTTCTTTCTGTTCAGGAAGCAGGTGAAAATCACTTGGTGCCAGGTCTCTGCGAGTGTGGAGGGTGGGGAAGATCTTCGAACGCACATTGTCGCACAGCAGCCTTTGCGAGTCAAGAGGTATGAGAAGAGGCATTGTCATGAAGTAGTAGAACTCCAGCAGTCAGCATTCCTCGCCGCTTTTCTTTGATAGAATCTCTCAGGCGATGAAGCAAATCAGCATAGTAGGCACCGGTAATCATGGCGTCTTTTTGGCTTTCTAAGTAATTAACAAGGATCACACCCTTTGCATCCAAGAATACAGCAGTCATAAGTTTCTTCACTGATCTTCAAGACTTAAATGTATTTGGTGCCAGAGAAGTGGAATGGTGCCATTCCGTGGATTGACGTTTTGACTCGGGATCATAGTGGTAGACCCATGTTTCATCATCCGTTACTAATTTTTAGTTTTCAATTTGACGAAATCCTTCTCAATTAGTTCTAAATCATCTCTGACTATGTCAGTTAATTTTCCCGTAATATCAAAACCTTTGGAACCCAACGAGCAGATATCTCATTCATCCATAAATATTCATGAATACTAGTTTCAATGGATCCATGGCTAGGACCTGTGTCTTCCTTATTAATAAGTTCAGCAATGGTAATACGACGATCTGACAGTATAAGTTTCCTTGATTGATTCTTCATTAATGAAAGTTGAGGAATGTCCAGACCTAGGGTCATCATCAATGCTTGTTCTCCCAGCCTTAAACATAGATGCAGTGGAATAGCTAGGGCACCTATTCCCACGCACTTGTGACATGCGGTCATGAATTTTTGGTGAGTAGTTTTCTCAAAAGTAAAAAAACTTGATGACTGTTCGGCACTCTCTGTCCATTTGGGTCTCCATCACGTTCAACTGGCTGTCACTAATATACAAACGGCATCAACAGGCCAAATACACATGCAATGAACTACTCATACAATGTATAACATTGACTAGTTCACTTTGTTATGGCCCACAGTTGAACGTTACTCAGTTAGGCTTAGAACCTTTTTTACCAGCCCTCGTACAAAGGTTAGCAACGTGTTACTTGGCTGAAACACTGTAAACTTAAGGTCCAAAACACAACTATGATGCTCATATCAAATACAGCAACACCCAATAACCATTTCTGGCCTGTTTAATGTTTAGCCACCAGCAGACATGGGTGTATACTTTCTTTTGCTCGGCAGTGTATGAATTAATAATACACCTGAATTTTTAGCCTTTGAGTGAGTGAGTTGGGTTTAACGCCGCTTTTAACAGTATTCTAGTTATATCGCGGCGTGTCAGTTTAATGTGGGAGGAAAGCCCGAAGTGATGCAGGTCTCAGACGTTTACCACTTCGGTGAAACCCACGAGCACGGGTATGGTGCTGACAAACCTAGAAACATAATTCGGGCGAACCTTGAGCCTTTGAGTTGAGAAGGGAATAACAATATGATGGAGATTAAATTTGTGTCATTGAAACAAATATGTCCCTAGGGTCTGCGAAAAGACCCAGTTTCAGATCTACGGTATCCTTACATTGATGTTCCTGGAACCTTTTTCAACTTTTCAAGTTTCCGCAAATTATTCGAAAATAGTAATATCACTCACTACCAGAGCCACGTGTTTTGTCTTCCTGTCTCAAGTTGAAAAACTGCCACAGTTACCTCGGCTGACCCGAAGATGACCACTCTCACACGGACAAGATATTGACACTCGCGGGTCAAGCGTCTGTTGGTTTGTAAACAATAGCCACTGCCGCCCCCTCACAGACTCTTGAGTTGGCTTTTCATTGTGTCCAGTTTGTTGAGTAAATACACAATGTCTATTCCAGCATTCATAAGGCCACCATTTATATCCTCGGTCAATAATCGTATTGGTTAAAGACGCGACAATTTCCCGAGAATGAAAATTGGAAAAGTAGTATGTACATGCAGATATGACTGTCAACACCCCTCAACGAGAGGAAATGTCAAACGGCTGTCATAAATCTCCTTCGCGAGGGACACATCATCTTCAGCCTATACCTCTTAAGAAGTGAGTGAGTTGGGTTTAAGTCCGCTTTGAGAGGTATCAGATGTATCATTGTTTGTTTGTTTGTTGTTTAACGCCGCATTCAGCAATATTCCAGCTATATGAAGGCGGTCTGTAAATAATCGAGTCTGGACCAGACAATCAAGTGATTGACATCATGAGCATCGATCCACGCAATTGGGATACGATGACACGTATCAACCAAGTCAGCGAGCCTGACCACCCGATCCCGTTAGTCGCCTTTTACGACAAGCATAGTCACCTTTTACGGCATGCATGGGTTGCTGAATACCTATTCTACCCCGAATCTTCACGGGTCAGCAGCTGTATAAAGACGCGTGAGCTTAATATAGGCGAACAGCCCGCATAGACGCAAATCTGAGACAACTTCGATGAATCCACGAGTACGGATATGGTAATATCAAACGAAAGCTG